AAAAAATTTTCGTTTTATTTATAAATGCCCGTTACTTTCTTGACTTGACTCTATATTCTTATATATTCAGTGTGTGACTTATCTACTATATTTATAAACAAGGAAGAAAGGGTTAAGTTTCTGTGTATCCGAACATTTTATACCCTTGCAACTAGCATAAATCATCCCTCAATCGATTTTATCTATAGGGGTTTTCAATGTGACACTCCAAAAGTAGACCAATAAAAATTACTGATTTTAATAAAATAAAAACGGTTTGGGATATCAATGAAATTCTTTATTCCTCGATTTAATACATTTTTACATACATACAGGGGCGGATACGGAGTAGGATTTATAGGTGGAGGGTGTGGTAAACTATATAATATTGTACTTGCAACTGAAAGTCTTTTTCTTCGAGGAGTCTCATTTATGATAGAAATAATGTATAACTTCTAATTTTTGGTGGACCAACTTTCCGTTGTTCTCCATGGCACTTTATTTGTGTACTAGAATGTGAAAGAATCAGATGGATTTCAAAAGGTATCATATGGGAATAGTCGCAATTGTAGTCGGTTTTTATGTACTGTAACGTAGGAATATCAGGAGAATCTTGGGCACCGAACTTTTAGAAGGCAGGACTAAGATCACTTTTTAAACTTTTTCAAATCGCAGGTGCACCTCCTTAACGTGACTTGTGGTGAACAAGTTCGGTGCCTCAATTACGGCTTAGTTATGAAGTGGCAGTGGTCCTATTATACCCATCTGCAATACCTATTCTCTTCTGAACTGCAAATTGCTGGACTTGTAGGTGCAAAAATAAAATATTCAAAAAAAAAAAATATAGTTTTTGCACTAAAACTAGTAAATATTGTTGCCGTGATTTTGTACATGCTATTTACAAAAAATAGCACACAAATGGGTAGTCCGAGTTGAACAAACGAGTAAGTATTTAAAACAGACATGAAACAAGTGAGATGGAGTTCAGTGCTGGGACATATGTGTATTTTTATACGGCTGTCTTATATATTAACAGAACTACTATATGATGTGTTTCGGGGATTACTATTATTTCATCCAAAATAATGCAAATATGTCCATTATTCAATTACAAATCTTGATTTGAACATACATTAGTATGGGAGATGCGCGATCTTATTATCCGATGTCTCCAATTTTAATAATGTATCAAGAAATGTCAGAAGGTATGATATATAAATATCTACATTAAGTGGCATACACTTTTCAAAAAGCTTTTATATAATCAGATTAGGCCCTCTCTACGGTGATAGTCCGTGCGAAATTAATGATAAAATTTCTTTATTTTTGTTCTACATATATGAAACATTGTATTTTTTCGATTAACGGCATTATTTTTGCTTATCTACAATACTATAGACTGGCATCCTTATCATGGTTATATCAGGTTGTTACTATATAGTATATACCACATCTAACTCTTTAATGTAGATTCTATGCTCTTGTGGGTTACTCTAAAATAGTATACTAATAGGAATACATTTTACTCAGTGGAAACACCGATAGCAACAAAATTAACATTTAAGAGTTTTTTCTCAACTTTCGTCAGTGATCCGTTTACGAGAACATTGCTCTATTCGGAAATACCTGGATGTTATACATGGAATGCATCGTCGAAGAAATAGTTGCGCAGAAAGCAAGACCAACCAGTAGATTGACATCCAGGTTCTGTTGTATTAGGAAGAATTTACACAATCCACCCGAAAAACCACGATTGTGTAATGTACGCTGTTTAACTTTATTTGAGTTATTGCTTACTGTGAATGGTAGGGTGTGGAGAAGTAAGCCAGCAACTACAATTGCTGGAACCCGTTAATCACTGGAATGCAAATGAAGTTTGCATACTTTTCGCGATAATCATTTCGACATATCAGACTTTAAATCCGACTCAATTGTGATACAATTCCGGTTGATCACGAAAGATGAGCTCACCACAAATGTTCGGACATTGGATAAATTATCTTAACTACGACTCCTTAAGTGTACGCGCAATATTGGCAGCCAAAAATACCGATGTTGTTGACTTATACTGGAAGATTCAAAGTAAAATTCAGGGAGACTTGCGCTCATACAAATCGATCGATCGTCTTGACAATGAAGACGACACAATGAATTATCCAGTGGAATTTCTAATTTCTTTGGACACGCTTGGTATGCCACCGTATCATTTGCGTCTCAAAGTAGGATCAGTCGTTATTCTGTTTCGCAATCTTCATGCGCCGAAACTGTGTAATGTAACCCGACTGATTGTGACGCAGCTGTTGAATACTCGTACAAGTGGCATAATGCTTGATTCTGCGGATTCCTTTGAGTTCTAACGATTTGCCATTTCGGTTCAAACATATTTGAGATGACAATCAATAGGACCTAAAGATAGTCGTATAGTGTGAGGCACAAATTTGGAAATACTATACCAGATATACGTGGCGTGCTCAAGAGTAGGAAAACCATCTTTCTGTATACCCGAACAGAAACCAAAAAATGTTGTTTATAAAGCTGCGTTACATTGAAAAAAAAATGAAATGATAAATTAAACTTTCTTTTCATTTCAAAACACATAATTTCACGCAGGACAACGACTCTGGCATCAGCTAGTTCTAAATAAAAAGGAGAATTAATTAATTAATTAATTAACAATTTCGTTTTATAAATATTCGCTAATATTTGCAATACTTCACTCCAAAGTCAGCAGCGCACAGTAGTTGGGACAGTAAATTCGAACAAAAATGCGGGCCAACCAAAGTCATTTCATTTCATTCAATGTTTCGAGCATAAATGTAACAACTACCGTCACACGGATCAGTAAGCACTTCCGAAATAAGACGCAACCGCACACACCAGCCAAAAGTCATTTTGTGTCTATGACAATAGAAGTCTGAAGTTCTGAAAAGCAATTTGCATTCGAACAAAGTTTCTAACTGCCTAACTTGACGCATTGCTTGACTGATTGAGTGAGTGAGTGACATGAATGTCATCCTCAAGTGTGCAAGCGAATAAGCGCGGGAGTGTGACGCATCGCAGCCAAGTGTAAAAATACTAAATTTCAAATTTCACTTGACTTTCTCACTGCATGACGGATAGTCAAAAATGCCTAACAAGCCTGAGTATGTTGGGATAGTTGTTATCGTGGAACTGTCTGCCTTGGTAAATGCTGTCAACGATAACTCAATTGTGGCGTAATTACCTCAATTCATTTTTTGCTTCTGTTAAAGTGGTTATCGAAGAAAAGCAGCGCAGCAAGTGAGACGAAGCCGAAGTAATAAATGAAATTATAATTCTCGCAAGCACTTTTCCGTATCAACAAAAGTTTTATTTTTCTGATTTCAGAACGTTTTGAGACGATTGTTCAAATAAATTTTTATGTGCGCGGTTCCGTTTATGCACATATATACTCACATGGTGCTTCTTAAGCTGGACTTGAATTTTCGTTTGCAGAGGCGGTAAAACGCCTGTTTAATTCACTCATCCAGTTTGTTAAGAAGGAATTTGATACTGTGAAATTAGTAAAATCCACTAATTAGATTTCGTTAGAAGCGGCAATTAGCTGTTTAGGTAATGTTCGACGAGTAACAAGAGTATGTAAAGTATTTTCATGCCTTGCAAAGATGGTTAAATTGCTTCTGCATTTTATGTAGTGACAATCTCATTGAAATTCTATGCAATTTCGACAATAATGGAACCACCACACCAAATAGGACTTTATAATGTAAAGAGTCATCGTTGGACTGAGTAGACAATAATTTGGAAGTCAATGCACCCTTTCAACAAACAAAAAGTATGTGTGCCAAAAAGCACGATTTAGATAGTTATTAGGTCTACTACAACTCTAATAATTTGGCGTTCAATTGAAGATTTTATTTAGCATATTTAGAATATTTCACCATCAAATTCTTTCGCCTTAGCCACGAGAAGGTAGTAGTCAATTGTTGTCAGGTCCGGACTATAAGGTGAATTTGTCAACCACGCTCCGGAAGTCTCTGGTGAGTCACCGCCTGCGAATGTGGTCTGACGCTGTCCTTATGGAGTACAATCCTTCTGCTTAAACCAAAACATGATCGCTTCTGCACCATTATTTCCTTAAGACGGTACAAGTGATGACAATACACATGCGAATCAAGAGTTTGATTGTAGGGGAGTAGCTCAAAGTAGATGATACTCTGTCAATTCCAATACACCCATAGAAAATCTTTCCTTGGTTTGCGCCGGATCACCTCGATTCCACCATTACCGTTTTCAGTCGCCCTTGTCGTAAGTGACCCACTTTTCATCACCCATGCCAATACGCTTCAGAAATGCATTCATTTGGGTGAGGTCCGGCAGATATTGCCGGATGGACATTCGTCCAGCCTTATTTAAATTATTTCAAACGGATAGTACGGAAGCTTGGGCGATTATGCGAGAAATGTTCGAAAAGTTGAAAAGAACGTGAATGGAGTTCTGTAATCAACATACAACAGCTACTTTAACTAGGCCAAGTCAGATGAACAAGTGCGGAATGCAAATTCATAATCAAAACTCTGATTTTAATAATCACCCTGTTAAATGTATAGGTATGAACCAAATTCCATAAAGAATTCTTATTCATAATTTCACGGTTATTTTCACAGCAACAAAAAAGGTAATGAAGTTAATTTATTGGAAGTAAAATGTATTTTCCACATAGAACCAGCAAGAGCTGCGCTGCAAATAAGCCAGTAACTCCAGACCCAGTAACTACATTTCAGTTAACTGCTGTAGCTGCCACATGCTGACAACCAGGCTGAAAACTGAATTTTCAACGATTTGCGGTACTTATGTTGCACGCAGCCAACCGTTTGCTGCTACAAAAGCGCATTGATTACACGCACCCCTCCGATTCAGCGGCCGCATCAGATAGAAGAGCTATTGCAAGTACCTATTACTTTGTGTTGCAGATGCCACACTGCAGGCGCAACACCTACGGCCCATACTGTTGAATTTCAGTTAGATTTGTGCCGATGTGCGCAGCGGTTTGCAAATTTCAGTTTGAATATTTCGCAGAATTTCTACTCGCCAACAGTTTTTATTAAAAAAAAAGGTTCTAAATTGAATTCGTTGCAATGCGCAGTTTCGTTTTATTCATTTACGGCTTATCCTGCGGCTATGGCTTATTGCGACCCACAGCCTCTGCAACTGAAAAATCGTCAGCCACGCAGTTAAGTGGTTCGGCTGCGGACGCGTTTGTGGCGGCGGGAAGTGCAGAGGCAGTGAAAGAGTTGAGTCATCTGGGGAACGATTCAATGCTTCAAGCGAATATGTTAACTTTTCATCGTGAAATTGCAATACCAGGAGATTTTCAAAAGGATGCGGGTATTGCTGAAATGAAAAACAATTTATCAAATGAAATAAATGAAGGTAAATATAAAAATAAAAAAAGGGAACTTTGAGCGTAACAAATATGTGTACATAAATATATTTTTATGTACTGCACAATGCATTGGATATATACAATTAAGGCGGTATATGCATGTATACACTACAGTAACTGATAACTCAAGTTCATACAAATTAGTCTACAATTAGTGGTTTCTACGAAAATCGACTTAATAAACATATTTTGGACTGAGCTTAATACAATATTCAAGGCATTAATTAACCATTTTATGTAATAGAAAATACTGAAAAGGAAATTTTTAATTTAATCGGAAATTATACAAGGTGCGTTTCAAAGTAAACAGGACTTTTTGAATCTAGCGCCATCTATTTGTCGACTGGTGCGTTGGAATCTGCTGTCTTTATCGATTTCCAGTGAGAATTTCATGACATTTCATCGACTGGAAGTGAAATTGTTGCTGTTGAAGTGTCAGTATGTTTGTGTTATCGGTGTGATAATGAGCTTCGAACAAAGAGCCAACCTTAAATTTTGTTTTAAAATTGGTAAAACTTTTACCGAAACGTTTCAGTTGATGAAACCAGTTTATGGCGGTTATTGCCTATCCCGTAGCAAAGTGCAGGAGTGGTTTCAATGCTTTTCAAAGTAGTCGTGAGGACATAAATGACGATCAACATGTGGGTTAATCAAAATTCGTGATCATCCATCGAAACTGTGCGTGAATTCATGAAAAATTAGCCGAAGTCATCAACATCTCCAAAACATCGATTTATCGCATTTTGACCGAAAATTTGGGCTTACGAAAGGTATATGCACGGTTTGTTCCGCAAAAATTGACTGACGACCAAAAGTTGCTCCCATCGATCGACGCTTGTGACCGATTATTTGACCAAAAATCACAGGAAAGCTTTATGCAGACATAAAGGCCATTCAAAAGGCTTGCATCGGCATACTGGCGGTCATACCGGCCAACGAGCTAAGACAATCGTTCGACATGCTTTTGGACCATGCATAAAGCTGTATTGAAGCAGAGGAGCCTATTTGAAATAAAATAAATTGATTTTGCCAAACAATCATTTGTTCTGTTGTTTTTTAAGTCCTGTTTACTATGGAACGCTCTTTGTATTCTGTCTCAAATTGTATCAATTATCAAAATATCAAAAACGATCTCTGGTGCTGCAAAACTTTTTTGTTAACAAGTTTGAACTCGAATTAGATTAAGCAATTGAATTGTCAACTATTGCACTAATTTTTAGCGTTGTATTAATTTATACACATAATTATAATGACAAAAGAACATCTTATAAAATGGAGTTTTCTACATACATATATTCTCGGCGAAGGTATCGAGACAAAAGTGTGGAAAAGTGAGCTCACAACATGCAAACACCATGATCCAAATATAGCACCTTTCCTTCCACTATAAGTAGTATAAAATCTAAGTACTTCGGCTAAACTTCCCGGTCAATGACCTTTTTATTGAGTTATATGGAAGCGCCAAAAATTTGTTTACATATTTATTTATATTGAAAACACATATTCACTAATTTAAAAGCATTTTTAATTAATCCAGCTTATCATATGTTCAATGTATTCTGTTTAATTATATGCCAACTTCAGACATCATGTTCAGATATGTATTAAGGAAATTTAATTCAGAATTTATTAAATTATTACCAAATTTTTATAAGTCGTAGAAGCCAGATATTGTTAAGAGGTACTTTCGCAATTGGTCTGAATTGAAGGTAATAATTTGCCCTAATGCTAATACTAATGATGACGCGGCTGCGAAATTAGAGCGGTTACTTGTACGTATATGAAGAAAATACAGCAAACCGGAAATCATATAATAATTATAAGAGGAATAGGTCACTACTACGCTAAACCACATTATTTTTATGAAGTCATTAAAATGTATTATTTATGGACCAACTTAAACGGCTTTAAGTATTTGGGATAGAAGAAGGACTGGATTGATTGCGTTAGAGTCGTTATGAAGATAACAAACACTCAAGGACACATACAGCATAAAGTCTGTTAAAAAAAAAAACAGTATAAAGTCAACCGGAAGTCAATCCGGTATATAAAAAGTCAGTCATAGGCACTGGGGTCCACAATTTTTAGACTTGAGATTTCGTACCTTATTTTCATTTTTCAATTTCTCATATAATTATTGACGTTTGAATTGCAAATTTCGTAAAATGAAGAAACCATATGTAATGCTAAATAGAGTTATTTTAGAAGAATACGTTCGATATTCCCCATTTTCACAACACTATATACGGTTTTGTTAAAAACTACTAAAAGTAAGATAAATCAATAATTAAATTCATCACAAGGCACCTGCTTCTAGGTGTCAAAATTAGACGATGGGCAAGGTACTGCCCAATTTCAGGTGAAATCGCATAGCTTTTTACTTACTCAACTAAATATGCAACGTTACAGTGTAAAAATGGGCGAAGTTCAATACAACCACGTTTAAGTATTCAAAGAGTCTTTCACTTTCCAGAATACAAATCAACCACATATGAATGTAACGGGATAAAACTTCGCACGAATAGTGCTTTTAAAGTAAGTCACCTTGTAATCAAAAATTTTTCATAATCAGACATTCCGGTTTACTTTATACCGCTTTTATCAGCCATAAAGTGAGTGATCTTAGTGAAAACGGAGAACGTGTATATAAAATGTATAAATCTTGTGAAGTCTTGTCCTAGCCCCTAAACACCTAATATCACATTTTTTGAATATCTGGCTGATTTTACTCCATATATGTATGTATATTGATGGTAGTAAGTTTACCTTAATGAAACTCAGGGAGTATATAAGTAAATACTGTTGATAATATGCAGTATTGCCAAAAATAGAAAAAATCTGGTCGATACAGTCCTTGGATCCTATAAAATTAATTTTCAAATTCCAAATTTAAAGTTGGCTTTAAACTCGTATGTATGGTGTCCTCCATATACTTCATATATTTCGTTGATTTTCGTTTTCTTAAAAAAACCTTGTGACGAATATGTCGTTCAGTGTGCTTGATTAAAATGTATAATATGTTAATGAAATAAAATTGACAAGGTTCCTTCAAATTATACAGTTATATATGCTTCGTTCCATTGTTGTCGTTTTTCACATAAACTCAGTTTATTAAATTAACCCTATTTGGTAGAGTTTATATCACATATTTCTCATATCAGGATAATAATTATACCCTAAATAGGGTATATTAAGTTTGTCACGAAGTTTGTAACACCCAAAAGGAAGCGTCGGAGACCCTACAAAGTATATACATATATAAATGATCAGTATGTCGAGCTGAGTCGATTTAGCCATGACCGTCTGTCTGTCTGTCTGTATATATAAAAACTAGTTCCTCAGTTTTCAATATATTGTTTTCAAATTTTGCAGTCGTCATTTTCTTAACAAGAAGCTACTCATTTGTCGGAACGCCCGATATCGGACCACTATAACATATAGCTGCCATACAAACTGAACAATCGGAATCAAGTTCTTGTATGGAGAATTTCACATTTCACAGGGTATATTCACGAAATTTGGTTTATATTATTCTCTCAGGCAACAATGTAATCTCCACAAAAATTATTCAGAACGGATTACTAAAGCATATAGCTTCCATACAAACTGAACACATAGTTACTAACAGAAATGCGCCTGTGACGAGTATATAGTTTCTGTGCAACTGAAGTTAACGTTTATTCTTTTTTATAATTTCCCTTGTTACGGTTAGTATACTATATCATAGATTTAAACAATTTTTGAAACAAACTTTTCTAATTCCCTTTGTGTTTTCAATTAATGTATTATCAATAGATTAAATATATTTAAAACACTAAATATTTTCACCTATTCTGTCAAATTTTTTTACACATAAATGACAGTGATAAAAAAGTTGTTAGTACTTTCGATAAAGGTGTCGATTTTTCTTGTAATTGAACTCAAATTTAATGATTGCTGGTCCTTTCTTATCACTGATAATCTCAAATTATTTCTCTTGATATAACTGCTATTATCTTCATGAGGATATTAACCCACCACGAATAGGTTCTTCTTAAATAAACGTTTTAAGGAATGAATTGGGTTAAATTATTTTGATTTAAATCCATCTAGTCACAATTTTTGGATAACATTCCGCCTTGTCGTCGTAAGAGATTTATAAATGTGTATGCTTCTTGAAAGGACACTGAAAAAAATGTGTTCCCATTCCAAAAACGAATGATGTTATTTTAAAACTCTATGGTAACTCTAACAATTCTATAAAAAAAAAAATTTTTCTAACGGTACTTTTCCTAACTTCCTAACGAACGAGCGGCTGGTCAGTTGTCTCCAAGTAGCTGGAGAGTCAGGACGAACATTTTCGCGCTGTTTGATATAATCTAACAGGCTCTCCCAGATGTTGCTGTAGCAAGGAGTTATGTGTTTTGGTAGCACCAGTCCTTTTTGGGGGGATAAAGAGGACTTCGGATTCCGTCGACTAAGTATTCGCTTAAGTGCCCAGATGTTAAATTATAAAAATCTGTGGCTTATGACATTGTGACGGACCACTTGAACACGCGCAAAAGTGCTCACTGACGTCCAGAAATTGCGGCGAATGGAAGTTTGAGAAAAAAATTTGAACATATGTGAAAATGACCCCCAATTTTTATATAACCCGCACAAACCCTGTATCCGCAAAAATCTTTCTCTTTTCAACAAGACAAGGCATGCATCCATACGAGCAACGAAAATGTGGCTTCAACCTAAAAATATCGATATTTCGGCATGGCCAACTGGTTCTTCTGAAGTAAGTCCTATTGAGAACCTTTGGCGGTCAATTTAATACAATTTCTCATTACATCAACTCAATGCCAAATCGATTATTATGTTATATAGATTAGGTAAAATATAAATTTGTTTATTTCCTTTTTTGCGGGGGAAGGGATGTATTTGTGGTAATAACAATAGTACGAAAAGTACGGTAAACATTTTTTTTTATTGAATTATTAGAGTTGCCAAAGAACTTTAAAATAACATGCATCGTTTTGGAATGGGAACCCTTTTTCAGTATTTCAAGGAAATATAAGGTCTTTACTGCAATGAAACAAAGTGTATATGCAATACTTGTATACGTACATATATTAATCTTACGTTGGTACATAAAACGCAATACACACAGGATAATTCTTTTTTTGTTCTCTGTATAAATTATTCATGATACCAAATGAACAAACTGTCATTCTGTCACTTCCGCATAAGCGGAAAAAGATTCAAGCACGGTAAGTAATTTGAATTTTAATTTAAATTTCCATGTGTCGCATTTCTTAATTGTTCAATATGGCTACTTCATCCAATTTAAACTATCAACTACATATTTAATGAAGTAATTGTTTACTTACACTTACAATCTCTTTTCAACTCTCTCCATCCAGAACGTGGCAGGCGTAAACGCAGGAAAATGTTGAAGTACCTACAGCCGATACTGATTGGTTTCTTAATAATGAAGTTTATCATTTTTCCGCTCGTTTTAAAAACACTAACAGCGCTCTCCACATCCTCGTTTGTGATGAGTAAAATTGCGTTGGCAATCACCGGACTACTTGTGCTTAAATGGCTGATCTCGGGTTCCGGTGATGGCGGTGGCTACGATGGTGGCGCCAAAGACCGGACACATTTGGAAATTGTCCATTTACCGTTTCCATTAACGAAAGCGTATCACAAGGGCAATGTAGGTGGAGGGGGTGCAGCGTTCGGCGGGTGGGACGATTTAGCTTCAAGTGGCAGCAGCAATGTGTTCGCTATAAGACATGGCGGCAAGCCACACAAGTATATACCAGTGAATAATTTGAAGCATATGGCACATGTAGTGGCCGCAGCAACCGTGGCAGATGCAGCGGACAATGCCGAAGGCGTTTATCGAAACACACGTCCGGTATTCGACGACAAGCCGTTCTTGTAAAAAATAAAATAAAGTATGGCACGGCATGAAACTCCCAACGATTAAACTGTCTACTACGCACTCAATTTATGTTTACTTATATTTATTTGCAAGAGTCAGCTCGCGATTTTATTTAATTATTTATTGTAATAACGAATACCAGCGAAGAAAAAAAAAAAATATATATATAATTATATATATAATGATGATATATATCAAAAATGAAAGCATTTAAACATGCAGGCATGAAATAAGTATTTATATGAAAGATATTTATTATTTTAAAGTTGGTATCACATTATTCTCTGTCTGTGTGAGTTTATGTAATAAATAAAGCAATAAAGAACATTTATTGTTGAGAATTCAGAAATAATTTAAACATATGTACGTATATGTGGGTATGAATTAGAGCGACCGATTTATTTTTCTATCAAACGCATATACAGGAAATACTCTAAGTTCTTGAAAACCTGGGTGTGGCCCCATCCTCGAATTGGTTTGAGGTATATATTATATCACTGCTTGCACTCCTGCTCTCTGAGAGCACTCGTCAATATCTCGGAATAAGGGAACTGTGGGACTACATTTCAAACTCCTTTCGGAAAGCAGACGTTCCATTGCCAGACCATGAAGAAGTTCGAATAGCAATTACCCGTCTGAAGAACAACAAAGCGGCGAGGACCGATGGATTGCCGGCTGAGCTATTCAAACACGGCGGCGAAGAGGTAATAAGGAGCATGCATCAGGATGAAAGCATGCCCAACGATTGAGGTGTACTCTGCCCAATCCACAAAAAGGGAGACCCCACAATCTGCGCCAACTACCGTGGGATAAGCCACCTCAACATCGCATATAAGGTTCTATCGAGCGTATTGTGTGATAGATTAAAGCCCACCGTCAACAAACTGATTGGACCTTATCAGTGTGGATTCAGACCTGGAAAATCAACAACCGACCAGATATTTACCATGCGCCAAATCTTGGAAAAGTCCCGAGAATCGACACACAGCACCTCTTCGTCGATTTCAAAGCTGCTTTCGACAGCACGAAAAGGAGCTACCTTTATACCGCGATGTCTGAATTTGGTATCCCCACAAAACTAATAAGGCCGTGTAAACTGACGTTGAGCAACACCAAAAACTCTGTCAGTATCGGGAAGGACCTCTTCGAGCCGTTCGATACCAAACGCGGTTTCAGACATGGCGGCTCCCTATCGTGCGACTTCTTCAACCTGCTTCTGGAGAAAACAATTTGAGCTGCAGAACTAAGTAGAGAAGGTACCATCTTCTATAAGAGTGTACAGCTGCTGGCGTATGTCGATGATATTGATATCATCAGTCTCCACAGCAGTGCCGTTAGTTCAGCTTTCTCCAGAATGGACAAGGAAGAAAAGTAAATGGGTCTGGCAGTGAATGAGGGCAAGACCAAATACCTCCTGTCACCAAACAACCAGTCATCACACTCGCGACTAGTCTCTCACATCACTGTTGACAGTTATAACTTTGAAGTTGTAGATAGTTTCGTATATTTGCAGGGTAACTCTTGCGAACAAGTGCTACTTCGAACTGAGTAGGCAATTGAAAAGTGAAGTCCTCGCTCGACGAACAAAAGCCAAACTCTATAAGTCACTCATAAGTCCCGTCCTGCTAAATTGAGCAGTAGCTTGGACGATGACAACAACTGATGAGTCGACGTTGACATTTTTCGAGAGAAAGGTTCTGTGAAAGATATATGGTCCTTTCCGCATTGTCCACGCCGAATATCGTACCCGATGGAACGATGAGCTGTATACGACGACATTGACATAGTTCAGCGAATTAAAAGACAGCGGCTACGCTGGCTAGGTCATGTTGTCCGGATGGACGAAAACACTCCAGCTCTGAAAGTATTCGACGCAGTATCCGCCGGGGGAACCAGAGGAAGAGGAAGACCGCCACACCGTTTGAAGGACCAGGTGGAGAAGGACCTGGCCTCGCTTGGAACATCCAATTGGCGACATGTAGCGAAAAGGAGAAACGACTGGAGCGCTGTTGTTAACTCCGCTATAATCTCGTAAGCGGTGTCTACGCCAATAAAGAAGAAGGAGAATATGCATAAATCATATTTTAAACCACTTAATCTACAACAAATAAATACACCTAACGCAAATAGTATAAGAGCTCTTAACGATAGTGCGCAAATGAATGAAATCAGATGGTAACCCCGCTCACACCCCATACAATGGTTACCTCAGTCGACTAACTAAAATGCGCTGGATTCTCTCATATTCCTATGTCCCAGCGCGAAAATGGCCGAAATCGGACTACAACCACTCCTACTTCCCATATAGCATAAACTTAAAGTCCATTTGATTCTTTCACTTTCCAGTACACCAATCAACAAGCAATTTAAGTAACGGTACACAAACTTTGTACTCATAAGTCCTTTAAAGTAAAAAAGCCCTTAAGTATCGAATATGGGAACCCTAGAATCTACAGTTGACTTTTGACCGAAAATATCGGTCAATGTATGGAAAAAACAATATAAGTTGAATCCGGTCAATACTTCTCTAAGTTCCCATTTGTGGGTTATTCAGACACCATCCTTTGGTGAGTTTTGTTTCCCTACTCAAAACGATAAGTCTTAATCAAGCTGTCATATGAAGGATATTACGATTATTAAATATTTTCCAGCTTTGCTTGCAAGTATGAAATGGGATCGCTCGACGTCGGGTAGTAGCTAATTACCATGATGCTTTCATTGCTTATCCAGACAAACTCATTTCCTCTCCCGCTGTCTGTTTTTATGAGACTATCTCTTTTCATACTCTCGCAACAAAGTTGCTAAGGAGAGTATTATAGTTTTGTTCACATAACGGTTGTTTTTAAGCCCTAAAACTAAAAGTCTAACTAAGTCAGATATAGGGTTATATATACCAAAGTGATCAGGGTGACGAGTAGAGTTGAAATCCGCATGTCTGTCTGTCGTCCGTCCGTCCGTTTATCAGTGCAAGCTGTAACTTGAGTATCATGAGATATCATGATGAAACTTGGTACACGTATTTCTTGGCTCCATCAGAAGGTTAAGTTCGAAGATGGGCGAAATCGGCCCACTGCCACGCCTACAAAATGGCGAAAACCGAAAACCTCTAAAGTGTCATAACTAAGCCATAAATAAAGATATTAAAGTGAAATTTGGCACAAAGGATCGCATTAGAGAGGGGTATATTCGGATTAATTTTTTTTGGAAAAGTGGGCGTGGCCCACATACATATCTCGGAAACTACTACGGCTATGTCAACCGAACTCTATAGAGCCGTTTTAATGGCAGAAGGAAGCTCCACCCAGGCTTTTTTTTTAAATTGAAAATGGGCGTGGCGTCGCCGACTTATGGGCCAAAAACCATATCTCAGGAACTACTCGACCGATTTCAATGAAATTCAGTATATACGAAATATGGGTGAAATCGGTTGACAAAAACGCCTTCTTCCAATATAACGCTATTTTGAATTCCATCTGATGCCTTCTCTGTATAATATATACATTAGGAACCAATGAGGATAGCGGAATTAAACTTTACACAAATACGGTATTCGAGCTGAGGTATCATTTGTGGAAAAATTGTCGTGATCGCACTATAACTTTTCAAGGTCCCTGATATCGAACACCAAGAACTCTGTGCATAACCTAACCTAACCTAATTTTTCACCGAGAATTTCGGTAAATCTCTCAGATATTTTCATGTAATTCAGAGGGCATAATTTTTATACTCTCGCAATAAAGTTGCTAATAACGGTATATATCGTCAGATATATGGTTACATATACCAAAGTGATYAGRGTGATGAGTAGAGTTGAAATCCGGATGTCTGTCTATCCGTCCGTGCAAGCTGTAACTTGAGTATAAATTGAGATGAAACTTGGTACCCGTAAATCGAAAATCTTATAAAGAGCTATAACTAAGCCATAAATAAAGATATGAAATTAAACTTTGCTACAAAAAATGGCACTAGAAAGGGTCACATTTGGATTTATTTTTTTTGGAAAAGTGGGCATGGTCCCGCCCCCTACTAAGTTTTTTGCAAATATCTCGTAAACTACTAAAGCTGTATTAACGATACTTTCAGAAGTAATTTCTTGAAGGTACTATCTTAAAACGGAGGAAATTGGATTGTAACCACGCCCACCTGCCATGCAAATGTTATGTTGTTAAAAATGCTTTAATTTACACTTTTCTGGATGCCAAAAAAGCAGGTTTGATAACAGAGGATCAGGCTTTGTCACTGACAAATGCAAGATTAGTCGGGCAAAAAAAAGTGTTGGAGTTAAGCTCCAAAACACGGAAAGTATTGACTCTGTATATGGACTGTATTTTGACGGCCGCAAAGACAATACACTTACACAAGTCAGCGAAGGTGAAAACCGCGACACTGTCAAAGAGGAACATATTTCTCTTATATCGGAATCTGGTTGTCATTACTTAGGCCACGTCACCTCTCCTTCCGGCTCAGCTGAGGATGAGACGCAAGCAATTCAGTTCATGTGGAACATCTAGAAGTTGCCGGTGTTGATGGCACCAACACGAACACCGGTTGGAAAGGTGGAAACATTTGGAAACTAGAAGAAAGAATAGGTAGGCCATTACAGTGGGTCTTTGTCTTCTACATTTCAACGAAGTTCAATTTCGTGCTCTTTTCGAACACATAGATGGTGTCTCAAAGTGTCCAAATACATTCTTTGGCGACATAGGTAAACTGCTCCCTGATTGTGAGAAGTTGCCTGTTGTCAAATTTGAAAGTTTTCCATCCTGCCAATTACCTTCTGAGGTTATTAAACCGACCCAACTTAGCACAGACCAGGCTTATCTCTATAAAATATCAGAAGCTGTTATTTCCGATCAATGTTCCTCAGATTTAGCGTCGATGCATCCAGGTAACAGGTAACATGTGCAAATCCCGCTAGCTCACCTGTGCAAACAGAATTCTGAGATTATACATTTCTACTGACAAACCAACAAAGGAAATAAAGATTTTGGTCAAGTACATATTTATAGTTTACTCACCTTTGCGGTTCTCAATAAGATTCAACAGTTCAAACAAAGATGGCTCGCGCCATCTCTATGCTGCAACGCAAAGGTCGAGATACTTACCTGCTAAACTGCACAAGGTTGTCGAT